TTTTTTTTCTGGAGAACGGTGCATGATCCTACTAGTTCAGGGATCACAGGGACCACATTATATATTTTCCCAAAATGATCACTGCTAGATTTTATTTATTGGTACTCTGTCAGGACAAACCTTTGTCTGGGAGCTGCCAGTCATTTCTAATGTTACAAACTCAATTGCTCTCCTATTCTTCGTTTACTTCACTGGCTAAAGCATTAGCCCAGAAAAAGCAAGCAGTGATAGTCTGAAATAAATCTATACGTGGAACAATTGCATTTTTTTTTTATGACATGCTATTGGAAGTTGTGTACAGAACATGACAGCCAAAAACCAGAATGCATGTGTCTGACAGCATGTGAACCATCATGTATTAGTTGGAAGCCATCATTGTAGTAGGATCCTCACATACTTGATCTAATTGATAACTTTTTAAGTAGTGAAATAAGGATGGTTGCCTTTTAAAGTGGTAATAAACCCAAAACCAAAAATGTAATACATCGCAGCTTACTAATCATTAGATGTGATGGCTGCATTAGTGTAGTTTTTATTTTATTTTTTTTTCTTTTGTTTTTTTTCCCCCCTTTGTTTCACCCCATGATCTGGCCAGTAACATACATTCTATATTAGGATGTCTGCTCTCTGGATAAAAGAGCAACTGAGACCAAAGTCTAAGTTATACCTGTTGCCAAAAACCTTGAAGGGTCTACTTCTCTAAATAGTCATTTTGGGGTATTTCCTGGGGTCCTGCCATTCCTGATCCATTATAAATGCAGGTCAGTGCCAAAAAAACAGACATATCAGTGTTCAGTCATTGATAGTCAGAATATGCTTCTGTGTTTCTGGGTCCTGCCATGTTCCCACCTGTGATCAAGACATATTTATGTGGTGGTTTTATTTATAGATGCGGTATTGTATGTGTAAAGTCTTTTATAGAATCATTACCTATACATAAGAAACTGAAAAACAAAACTACAAACAGTTTTTGCTGCAGTGGAAGAGATGTCTAACCGCGCATGAACAGGAGTTTGAAAGTTCGCTGCAGTGATGGTATTGGAGAGCAGTAATAGCTCGGAGTCCCCTTGCAACAAGGCTGGATGGAGGTGGGGGGAGATGCTATTTCTGGGAAATTTTTCAGCAAAGGTTTGGGAGATGTTTAGGTTGCCTACCTACACCTATAGAAAGAACCTTATTCCACTTGAGACAAAGCTTCTTTTTTTTTTTACCTTCAGGTACCCCTTACCTGCATAGGCATTTTTTTTTCTTAGTTATAGATCAACTAACCGTTCAAGGGTTCATTTTTATTCCTCCCTCTCTACCGAGCGAGGCACTCCAAAGGCATGTCAGTATCAGATGTCTAGGTTTATTAGTGACTTATAAAATAAGGAAACTTCCCTGTTACATGTGCCTTCAAAAATAAACAGCAGTTCCTATTTATGTCCTGCTACATTTCAATGATTACCTGCTTGCACTCATATGAAGGAGAAAAGTTAGTGAAAACTTGTAAATTGAAAGGTTTTCATTTATTTTTTTATACTGCTTATGTTGTCTACAAGTGAGGGACTGTTTTTGCATAGTACCCTTTTTAATTACAGAGATCATGCCAAGCTGAATTTAGTTATTTTTCTGGGGTTTTTTTTGGCCATTGTAGCTAATTTAGTCTTTTTTTTTTCCTTCAAAGTAATTTAAAGTTGCTTTGTCTTTCTATTGATTCCATTTGTACCTCTTAAGCAATTCAGATTAAACGTCTGCAAATGATCAATTACTCTAGCATGAATTTTTAATTGTTTAAAGAAAATAATAAGCGGCTATAATAACGTTGTAATTTTGGTGCCTATTCATAAAGATGTCTGAATTTTTCCTTTTCAGTTACTTATTTTTAAAAGTTTCTTTGAAGGTCCTGTTCCCCAGTGCCTTTTATTACTTCTGCAACTTTAACCACAGTTCACATACAGGTGAAACTCGAAAAATTTGAATATCGTGCAAAAGTTCATTTATTTCAGTAATGCAACTTAAAAGGTGAAACTAATATATGAGATACTCATTACATGCAAAAAAGATAGTTCAAGCCGTGATTTGTTAGAACTGTGATGATTATGGCTTACAGCTCATGAAAACCCCAAATCCACAACTCAGAAAATTAGAATATTACATGCAATCAATAAAACAAGGATTGTACATAGAACAATATCAGACCTCTGAAAAGTATAAGCATGCATATGTACTCAGTACTTGGTTTGGGCCCATTTTGCAGCAATTACTTCCCCAATGCGGCGTGGCATGGACGCTATGAGCCTGTGGCACTGCTGAGGTGTTATGGAAGACCAGATGCTTCAATAGCGGCCTTCAGCTCTTTTGCATTGTTCGGTCTCATGTCTCTCATCTTTCTCTTGGCAATGCCCCATAGATTCTCCATGGGGTTCAGGTCAGGCACGTTTGCTGGCCAATCAAGCACAGTAATCCCACGGTCATTGAACCAGGTTTTGGTGCTTTTGGCAGTGTGGGCAGGTTCCAAGTCCTGCTGGAAAATGAAGTCAGCATCCCCATAAAGCTCGTCTGTGGAAGGAAGCATGAAGTGCTCCAAAATCTCCTGGTAGACAGCTGCGTTGACCCTGGACTTAATGAAGCACAGTGGACCAACACCAGCAGATGACATGGCTCCCCAAATCAACACAGACTGCGGAAACTTCACACTGGACTTCAGGCATCTTGCAGTGTTTGCCTCTCCATTCTTCCTCCATACTCTGGGTCCTTGGTTTCCAAATGAGATGCAAAAGTTGCTCTCATCAGAAAAGAGGACTTTGGACCACTGAGCAACAGACCAGGTCTGTTTTTCTTTAGCCCAGGTAAGACGCTTTTGACGTTGTTTGTTCAGGAGCGGCTTGACAAGAGGAATATGACATTTGAAGCCCATGTCCAGGATCCGTCTGTGTGTGGTTGCTCTTGATGCACTGACTCCAGCCTCAGTCCACTCCTTGTAAAAGTCCCCATCACTTTTGAATGGCCTTTTCCTGACAATCCTCTCCAGGCTGCATTCATCCCTGCTGCTTGTGCACATTTTTCTTCCACACTTTTCCCTTCCACATAACTTTCTATTAATGTGCTTTGATACAGCACTTTGGGAACATCCAACTTCTTTTGCAATTACCTTTTGAGGCTTTCCCTTCTTATGGAGGGTGTCAAGGATGGTTTTCTGCACAACTGTCAGGTCAGCAGTCTTTCCCATGATTGTGATTCCTACTCAACCAGACTGAGACCATTTAAAGGCTCTGGAACCCTTTGCAGGTGTTATGGCTTAATTAGCTGATTAGAGTGGGACACTTTGAGCCTAGAATATTGAACCTTTTCACAATATTCTAATTTTCTGAGATTGTGTATTTGGGGTTTTCATGAGCTGTAAGCCATAATCATCACAATTATGACAAATCACGGATTGAACTATCTTGCTTTGCATGTAATGAGTCTATCTCATATATTAGTTTCACCTTTTAAGTTGCATTACTGAAATAAATGAACTTTTGCACGATATTCTAATTTTTCGAGTTTCACCTGTATATTCCAAGTCATGGCATTCATGTGAATGATAAATTAATGTATCCATGAATAAAATTGATTATTAGAATGTAGAAGTGGCAAACCTGATAACTTGAAATACAGGATTCTTCCTCTACTTTAATTCTGGGCTTTTAAAATAACAATTATCTTGCAGATCTCAGATTTAGTTTGCCATCCTGAGGTTCATAATTATCTGAAAAAACGATGACCCAGATTTAAAAAGAGTAGTTACACCAGGGAAGCCGGAGTCTGTTTTTCAACTTTCCATTTTTAGCAATATTCACAAATGTACTTTACCTTTTCAATAATTGCTCTGTAGTCACTATTCCTATTATATGTGCCACTAAATCTCAGAAAATATCTGGGTAAGGGTTTACAATACACATTACAATCTGACCATACAATCTGTGTACAACCAACTTTGGATAGGTTAGGTAGGTCCTCATATTACATAGTTTTGATAAATATAATCTGAAGGTACATCTTCACTACATACTCATTAGTAAGGACTTTGAGCAATCAGATGTGTGTGTGTGTGTGTGTGCGTTGAGCGTGTGTTGAGCTTAAAGTGATTGTAAACTGTTTAAAAAAAAAAAAAAACTGCTCCAAACCGCCTGTTCTCAGGTCCCCTATTGGAGCTCTTGGCTCCTCCCATTCGCTGAGTGTCCCCATAGCCACTTTCTACGGGGGAACTTGTGCGGGCTCCCTCCCAAGCCTCTCTCTCTACATCTATTGACACAAACAGTGGGACCTGGGGGGGCATACTGATACCTAAACTTTATTTACCGTAATGCAAGGAATGCATTAATGTAAATGTTTTGGCTTTATACCTGCTATAGGGTAGCAGTGCATTTTAGCTCTAGTGCCACAATGGTTTGCAATGTGCTTTGGAACCTTTTAGTAACATCATTGTCTCTCTATGTTCTCTCCAAATAATAGTCTGACAACAACGTAACTGTGTCATACCTATAGTGTTGTGCAGAGCACATATCCTCCCATTCAACACCACATAGCCACTTGTCAAAAGCATGAGCACAGGCTCATGAATTTGTGCTATAATCTCTATATGGAGAGTTTGCATTCTGCTGGAGCAATATAAAATATACAAATTGGTGCAGCAAGTAGCAGTGTGTCACCTCAGAATAAGCATAACATTTCTGTGTTGAAACACAAATGGGACTTTTTGCAAAGACTTTACCTATTAAGAAAAGGCTCCTGTTTGGGACCCATATGTAGTAACACAATGAGGTCTTTGAACATTCAGTGTCGGGCTTGAAAGTGAGTGTTACCCACAGCAAGTTCTACACTGGAAGATATTTGAAGGGTGGTGGTTGGCTACCCTGGCACTTTCCTTTCAGTCACTTCTATGCATATGGCTCACATATGCCATTGTACAGTACAGAGCGTTGACCTAAGACATTTTGCTTAACTACACCTATTGATTGCATTTTTGTTTCCAGATCACGTGTCTGTAGGAGGACTTGGCGATAGCTTCTATGAATATCTGCTAAAGGCATGGCTTATGTCGGAGAAGACCGATGAAGAAGCCAAGAAGTTATATTATGATGCTGTTCAGGTAAATTGATTTGAAATTCTTTCAGTGAATACATATTATTGTAACTTGGTTTGATTCTGAAAGCGATATGTGCTTCTAATAATACACTGGCAGGTTTAGTCTCCAATTGGATCCAATGAGACCGTGTTCTGGAAAAGAATTAGCATGCACACACAGAGGTTTCCAGAAGACGATCTGATCTTTATTCGTAGATTCTTCTTTTTATATTGTAACAAAGAAAATCATACAATAGAATTTTGCTAGATACTTGTCAAGGCTGTGAACATGATTTTTCTCAGGCCTTGAAATCAGTTACAAGTAACCAACAGTTATTTTCCCATGGGACAGAAGTATTTGACTTTTAACTATATCATAGCAGAAACAGGTGCTGTTAGTATAAAGAAATAATTGGATACTATCCCTGCCAAAAGAATATTGTGAGTACAGTTCTATAGCACATAACTGACACAGCATATCTTCATTAACTCATTCTGGGTATAATACAAAAGCAATTAATAATACAAGAAACAACACGGAGTGATACATTTGCCTTCAGATGTATTCTATCCAAATGTCAAATAGAGGAAATATGTTGGCAAATGCTACAGCTCCTATTAGAAAAAAATTAAATATTCCACGGAAAACCCTTTCTGGTTCTGTATGTGTGATGTTTCAGGATGTTCTCACAGGCCATAATTTAAAATCTCATTATTGTGGAGCAATACGATGCATGCACTGGTGTGTAAGAGCTGCATACCGTATTACCATAGATTTCATCAATGTGTCATACTAATCTCCAATGTGTGAATTAGCCTCTTGTCATTGGTGTTGGCGTTTATTTTAAGTTAGAAATATGAAGGGTTGGTTGTCTTGAATTTTAAAGTAGTTCTTTTGCACAGTTTTGTTATTTAACCTTTATTTATCATGCTCATCTGAGAGTGAATTTCAGATGTGTGATTATGCGCTTGACTTGCTTAAAAGTATCTCATCTCTGGAATCGTTTCAGACTCGTCACATTTCTCAGTGATGGCATATACAGTGTGTTAGAAGAAGTTGTGTTAAGATGGGTTTTGGTTCATTAAGGATGCTATTGTTGAGAATCCTTAGATATGGTGGCTGCATTCAGTTTCTTTTTTCTTTTACTTTGACCTGTCTCCTTTGCTCCTTCAGTGGAGATGCCCTAAAACAGGATTTATTGGCCAGATCACTAGGTAAAAATAAAATGGAAAAAAAGCCCCCCAACAACAAAAGAAAATAAATACAGCCTCTACATTTCAGGATTCATAAGCTGCAATATATTACGTTTGTTTTTGGGGTTAATACTGCTTTCAGTCTGGACACCAGAAAAACAATATCCTTGCAGTGGGGCCTCTCCGTACTACAAGGATGAAATACTCTTTATATCTAGGGGTAGAAAAGTAAGGTGTAAAAGTTGCATTATTCCTAATTTCCAGCAGGCTTTTTTCATACAGTTAACGTATCACCTGAAGCCTCTGGCCTGCTGAAAGCAGTTCTGTAGGTCTCTATGCTGTATGAACCTGGCAGTGAAAGTGAACCCTTGTAGTTCTAGGGCTGTTTTTCACTATTACCGTATTTTTTCCGGCGTATAAGACGACTGGGCGTATGACGACCCCCTACTTTTCCTGTTAAAATATAGGGTTTGGGCTATACTCGCCGTATAATACTACCCCTCTTCCAACGCACACCAAATAAAAATTAAAAAACAGATTTGATTTCAATATGGTATGGTATTCCAATGATGGGGCACGATTCCTCGCACTGACACCAATGATGGGGCATCCCATCATTGGTGTCAGTGGGAGGAATAGCACCCCATCATTGGTGTCAGTGGGAGGAAAAGTGCCCCATCATTGGTGTCAGTGGGAGGAATAGTGTCCCAACATTGGTGTCAGTGGGAGGAATAGTACCCCGTCAGTGGGGGGAGGAATAGTGCCCCATCGTTGGTGTCAATGGGGAGAGGAATAGCGCCCCCATCATTGGTGTCAGTGGGAGGAATAGCGCCCCATCATTGGTGTCAGTGGGAGGAAAAGTGCCCCATCATTGGTGTCAGTGGGAGGAATAGTGTCCCATCATTGGTGTCAGTGGGAGGAATAGTACCCCGTCAGTGGGGAGAGGAATAGTGCCCCATCGTTGGTGTCAGTGGGGGGAGGAATAGTGCCCCATCGTTGGTGTCAGTGGGGGGAAACAGCGCCCCATCGTTGGTGTCAGTGGGAGGAATAGTGCCCCATCATTAGTATCAGTGACACCAATGAAGGGGCACTATTCCTCCCACTGATACCAATGACACTTGCTGACTCCTGTTCCAGTATAGTACTGCTGCAGCCAGTATATGTGGTTGCAGCAGCACCTCTGCACTGAACACTTACCAGCTTCTCCCTCACTCGATTTTCACGGGTCCGCTCGGGTCCGCCTCCTCGCCCGTGATTGGCCGCCTGTGTGCCTTTCCTGAGCTACAGTTCTGGCAGCCAATCTCCGGTGAGGAGGCGGAGCCGAGCGGCAGGAGTGAGGGAGTGGCCGGAGTGACTGAAGGAGCAGCGCTTCCTGGACTGGATCGTCGTGGGAGCCAGGTAAGAGACAGCAGCCCTCTGCCCACCCCTGTACTTAGTGTCCCTTCCGTGCCACCGCCGTCCCCCTAAAAAGTGCCGCCCTGACGTATACCGGCATATAAGACGACCTCCGACTTTTGAGAAGATTTTCAAGGGTCAAAAAGTCGTCTTATACGCCGGAAAATACGGAATATACGGTAACTCTAAACTGTTGACTTCTAAGAATTTGTAACGTAACCTATTGACAATCTTGGCTGCCAAAGCTTGTTGCCATTTCATGGACATCTTTAATATTTTTTTTTTTAATTCTTTTTGATTTGTAATGTAAAGCGTAGAAAAACAGCATTTGGGCATTAAAGCGGAGCTCTGCCCAAAAGGGGAAGTTCCGCTTTCAGGGTACCCGAATTTGACAGGTATCTGCTCCCACTTCCGGTCTGAAGAGGAAGGTGTCCTCCCTCCCTCCCGTTAGTCTTTTGGGACATGTGACAGGTCCCAGAAGACTACAGGACCATTCATGAAGTGCAGCGCTAATCGCGCATGCGCAGTGGGTACCCAGCTGTGAAGCTCCTTACAATCGCAGCAATACCACATATGTCTGTACATGCAAAAGGGCATTTCTTCATTTTTATTTTAGCCTGCCTAAAAGACACTGACCATGGATACCAATTTTAAAAAGGTTTTTTGTTTTTTGGGTTTTTTTTTTTTTTTATATCTAAATCTACCCAAAATATACTGACTGTGACCTTTGACCCCAACCTTAACCCTAACTCTAACCCCAGCAAACCTTGATCTTGTTATTTTTTTCCTTTATTTTTAATTTTTTTTTTCCTTTTTGCTGGTTTTTCACTTACTTTGTTTATTTTCTATTCCTGCAAGAAGAAAAAATGCAATGTATTTTTTCCCTTCAGTCAGAAGAGGAAGTAGACACGGGTTTTCTCCCAGTGACTAATCACTGTGATAGCCAATCAGAGGCTTACAGTGATCAGGTGACCCAAAACCAGGAGTCTCCGGTCCGGATTGTTACTACAAGACCCAGGTCCCTCGGTGAGAGCCTGGTCTCTGTGCTGGGAGCGTGTTGTGCGGTGCGTTCCCAGCACAAAGAGAGATGTGCAGCCTCACAGATAAAGACCCATTTCCGTGAGGTGGTATATATGCCCTGCTGCTTGTCTGCAGAAGGGCTAAATGTACAAAAAAAAAACCCAGCTGTCTGGCGCCCAGAACTGCATGTCTTAGGTGTCAGGTCGATATGGATTGCACATCCTTGCCTTTTAATGATATACTAATGACAGAGCTGTAATAAATTGTCATTAATACCTGCTTGAGTTCAAATTCTAAAAAAGTGACTGACATTATGGGACTAATTTCTAGTCAAAAACTGTGTGCTGTATGTAGGTATATACTAAAGGGCCTAATTATTAATACTGTTACTTTAAAACAACCAAAAGTTGTAACTACAGCTGATATGCTTTTTTTATTCCAGATAATTTACAGGTAGAAAACTTTTAACTCTCTCTCTTTACACAGCACCAAGATTTGATGTAGTTGATCTGTTGCATTTATCATAACATTGTACACAGTACACTAATTTCTTCATGCACTTTGGTAAAACATAAATGTTTTATATTTTCTTGTTTGCTCATAAGGGGGCTTAGAAACTGTATCTTCTTCATACAAATGTGGTGATTTCTGGAACAAACAGACATTATTTGTTCTAAATTTTAGAAAAATCATTGCATTAACTATTATTATTATTATGCAGGATTTATATAGCGCCAACAGTTTGCTCAGTGATTTACAAAATAAAGGGAGACAATACAGCAATGATACAGTTCAATACAAGAGGATTAGGAGGGCCCTGCTCCTTGTAGCTTGCAATCTAACTAGAGGTAAAGACCACCTAGGTCTCTCCTTGAGTAAAGGCAGCCATAAAAAATTCTCGCCATACTAAAGCTTTTCTTGGAAACAGTCCTAGCAATCTGCTACAGCTCTACCCTTGCTTTTTTTTTTTTTTTTTTGAAGGAGGGGTTGTGAGAATACAGTGCATACCAAACCTACCTTAGAAACCCATTGATTATCATTTTTTATGTGCCATTCAGGCCAGATGCCAAATTAAAACCTATTTTTCTTTCCAACTCCCATGTCTATGATTTAAAAATCCTGAGTTTATACAGCCTTTGGAGACCCTTCTAAAGTCTTGTCCATAAGTAAATCTAGCCATACACTGTCAAATTCCCACTAAATTTTTACAAAATTTGAGTCGTGGGTAGCCACTCAACTGAGGGTGAAAAATTGTCATCTGAGTAGTGTCTGCATACTATCAAGCTGCCATTCTGGTCTGCGTTGTATCTGAAGGTAAATTCCAAGAGCAACAGCTGCTTTATAGGGAACTTTATGTAAAAAGCAGTTTTTCTTTTTATTATTTACAGATTAGTGTCAAATATACATTTTCTTAAT